AGGCCGTGCTCAATATCCCACACTCAGCAAGCTGCTGATGGCTTTGGTGAACATTTTGTGCTGAGGTAAGAGCGCAATTGAACTCCAATCCTTGAAATTCTAGAGCCGCCTGGCTTGCTTGGAAGCTTGCCTCCTCATTGCCCCACTTGGAATTTGCCCACCTCAGAGCTTGCTGCCCTTCAGATGCACATTTCTGGTGTTCAGATGCACATTTCTGGTGTGAGCTGGCAGTGGCAGAAAGGTTGTTGTTGTGCAACACAAGATCCTGCTTGCAGCATGCTCAATGATTCGAGAAAGCACGCTGTGCAGTCTCCCTAATGCACAAGCTGGTTCTGCGCAGGGAGCAGTCTTTTCTTGCAGCCATCAGCTTGGCTTGGGCTTGAGCTAGCTGTTGCTGAATGCCTCAGAAGGGTTTGCACTGCTGACTGAGTTAACCTGCTTTGCATCCAGATTGCTCTGCTGCCTCTCTAGAGTCCTTTTTTTGCAAAATGCCTGCAAGTGCAGCTGTAAGATTGTCCACCTTGTTAAGGCAGCATTCCTTGTGCATTCCCTGTAGCTCAATGTTTTCTTTCCTGGCAACATCTAGCCACTTGCAGATAATATGAGCATCATTGCTCAATTGGCAGTCATGACCTTGAAGCTCTGCAAGTGCTCAAGAAATTGGCAAGCAATTGCGCAAAATTTGTGTGCACAAAGCAGTGCATCCTTTCTCTCTCCTCTCCAAACAAGCACAGACACACTTCTCCACCAAGCCTGAGCAGCTCAACTGCAGTTGACCAGATCTCTGCCTTACATGAACGCCCAACATATTGTTCTCTTCAAGTTGTTCCAAGGATTGCAGAGGTTTGGCTAGCGCATTGCTTCTTCCAGGTCAAGAGGCTAAACCACCTATGATGCTGTGCAAGAACTGCAATGGCAACCACACCCCACTCAGTGAGCACAACCTTGCAGAGATCCCACGTGAGCTTGATTGCATCAACAAGGCTGTCCACAAGATGGATGTAGATGAGAAGTTCAAAGCTCTCCTTGAGGCCATGCCCGAGCCTGTGACAGACAAACAGTCAGGCTCAACAGAGAAGTCAATTCATAATGCTGTGACAAGCACTCAAAAGGCCAGTGCTACTCTAGTCCAACAGAGGAGGATGAAAGCAATCTTCAAGGGCAGGAGGAAGGTGAAGAAGCAAGAGGAAGCCGTGGCCAAGAGAGAGGAGGACTGGAAGGCCAGAGGGGAGAAGGCAGATGCCCAAGATGCTGCCCTCACCAAGTCTCAAGACGGCCATTGATAAGATGGATATTGATGAGGAGCTCAAAGCTGTCCTCAAGGCCATGCCAGAGCCTTTGAAGGACAGACAGGAGCCCTTAGCAGAGAAATCATTTTGCAACGCTGTGACAGGCATCCAAAAGGCCGGTGTGGAGATGGTCCAACGGATGATAATGAGGGCGATCTTTGAGCGCAAAAGGAAGGTCACGAAGGCGGAGGAAGATTTGGCCAAGAGAGAAGCGGTGAAGGCCAGAGAGGCGAAGGCATACGCCTAAGATGCTGCCTTCACCAAGTCTCAAGAAGGCCCTCAACAAGATGGAGATCGACCAGGAGCGCAAAGCCA